TAGTCCCTTTTTCCAAAAAGCCCTTCTTTCCCCTTTTCCTGGCTAAGGCATACGTATCTTTCGGGTCTTCCTTAGAAAGTGTTTTTCCAACTTCTTGGGCCAGATTAGGTATCCTGTTATTATACTCTGATTATGTGGTATTATTTTCACTGTACTAGCATCATTTTAATGATCTGTGTGTGATGATGTGATTGCTGTCTTACTCCCAGAGAACTATAAACTTGAGGAGAGTAGGCAATGTACCTGTTTTGTTTGCTACTCTATTCCCAGTGCCAACTACAGTGCCTGACATAGTATGTGTTCAATCAATTTTCTTGAAAGGAATAAAAAGGAGGGAGGTAGGGAGGAAGGAAGAAAAGGAGGAAGGAAAAAAGGAAGGAAAGAGGTTGGGAGCAGGCAGGGAGAGAGTCAGAAAAGAAGGAACAGAGATCCCATTGGGGCTAATTGGGAAGACATTTGATTCTCCATCTCTAGGGAGAAAGCTGGAAGGGTTCACTGTAGCTCTCACCTGAGGCCTCAGTGTTTTTGTTTTTTTTGTTGTTGTTGTTTTGTTTTGTTTTAAAGATTTTTTTAATTTATTTATTTGACAGAGAGAGACAGCAAGAGAGAGAACACAAGCAGGGGGAATGGGAGAGGGAGAAGCAGGCTTCCAGCTGAGCAGGGAGCCCGATGTGGGGCTCGATCCCAGGACCCTGGGATCATGACCTGAGCTGAAGGCAGATACTTAATGACTGAGCCGCCCCAGCACCCCGGCCTCAGTGTTTAAAGGCACAAGTTAACATCAGAATTTTGTTTGTGGGATAATGTTGAGTTCAAACCACAGAAACGGCTCCAAATGGATCATCAGGGCTAAGGGGGTCTGCGGTGACCTGAGTTTTAGATATAGAGCAAAATGAGAAGGGGAAAAGCAGGGAAGATAAAGGCAAATAAGAAATAATCTATACAAAGTCAAGGAAGTGTAGGACAGGGCCACCAGCTGGACTTCTTGTACCTAGCAGCTATTTATGAATGGGCAAAGCAGGTCTGATAAAAGGGACACAGACCACGCACAGTTGTCATATACAGACATATGTTGCTCCAACATCTTAATAAGTTGGTATCCTTGTGTATAAACCATTTTCCTGTGAGTATGGTTAACTCTAGGTTCACTAAAATGAGACTGAATCAAGCTATAGTTTGTGCATTTCAAAGCTTAGGACTTTGCCATGGTGCCTGCCTGCATGGTGCCCTGCCAGAGGGAAACTCTGCCTAAGCAGTCCACTGCTCCCTCCCTTCCCTACTTCTTTATGGCACCCTTTTTGGAAATTCAACATTTTGAACCAGTTACCAAGCTCTTCGCTTACATGCTGTCTCATGTTATCACCCTTCTTGATCACAGGCTCCTGGGAGAAAGGGAAAGTGTCTAGCTCATTCTCTCATCTACTGAGCCCAGTGCAATGACTTTGAATAGTAACGGTTTGAAAAAATTATTGAGGGGCACCTGGGTGGCTCAGTCAGTTAAGCGTCTGCCTTCGGCTCTAGCCACGATCCCAGGACTCCACTTGGGGCTCCCTGCTCAGGGGGAAGTCTGCTCCTCCCTCTTCCTCTGACCCTCCCTCTTGCTTGTGCTCGCTCTCTTTCAAACAAAAATAAAATCTTTAAAAAAAGAAAAAATTGAATAAATACTTCTATATATTTCATACGTGCTGAGACTGATTACTCCAATGAACTTGTTAACGTCTTGAGGAAGACCACTTTAAACTTGAAGTTCTTCCTCAAACATAAGGATTTGGACTCAATAAGTCATTTTCTGTAAACTATTAGAAGAATGAGAAGGTTATGTCTTTATACATAATTTTTACAATATCTCTATTAGTTCCAGTATATTATTGGGCACATGGTGGGAACTCAATAAATGTTTGCAGTGAACTGACTCCAATATAGATGTATTTCAGTTGAGAGGAAACAGAGATGTTTCTGACATTCCATATAAATTGTTTATGAGTTAAATGCTACTTAAATATATATAAATTTGCTATTAAATGGATCCCTAAGATGAATATTTTTATAATATTTAGAATCACTTTGTAATATAATAACTCCTTTATGTAACCCATTTTTTGAGTTTCATATTTTTACATATCCAGGTTGCTGATAATAGGATAAATTAGGGTGCCTGGGTGGCTCAGTTGGTTAAGCGACTGCCTTCGGCTCAGGTCATGATCCCAGAGTCCCAGGATCGAGTCCCGCATCAGGCTCCCCGCTTAGCGGGGTGTCTGCTTCTCCCTCTGACCCTACCCCCTCTTGTGCTCTCTCTCTCTCACTCTGTCTCTCAAATAAATAAAATTTAAAAAAAAACCTCAGCATTTAAAAAAAATAGGATAAACTAGGTTAGTGCCTTATAGGCATGAGGAAGCCAACTGAATTGCTATTGATTAAATCAAGCTGTTCTTCATAGACAGCACTGTCCCTCTTTCTAGAGTTTCCCAGATGATCTACTTTCTCTCAACGTCTCCCGCACCACACACACACACATTTTCTCCCTGTGTCTTAATTCAAATTTCGTAGTTGTATCCTAATTTATAATGTATGCATAAACTTCATTTCCCAATACTCCTTTCCACCTCTCCCCACCCCCTTATTTAACCACATGCCTCACCATTTTTCAAAATAGGTATGCCTTCCATGGTGCCTGAATCATCCATAGCAGGTAGAGACTTCAGGTTGTCTGTCTCAGGTGGTGGCTTTTGTATGAGCATGCTGGAAGTTGAAGCTTCCCCAGCTGAGAAGCAATATCTCTAGGTTACCCTCAAGGTGGGTTTCAGGGAAAGGAGTGCTACTTATTTTCTTTCATTTCTTCTGTAACTCTTAGCTGTCCAGGGCCTTTTTCCCCATAATCCAGTGAAAAATTAGAGAAGTCATGACTTTTCTCAACAACTATCTTACCCTAAAAAAAGGGTTCTATTCCTCTGACATAAATGAGAGAAAAGTAGAACATGTAACTAGCTACTTCGAGACTGTGGTAGAATAGAAAGTCATTTCTCTCTGGGACTCTATCTTATAGGTTTTAGTGTCAATTACAGTCGTAACAAGGACTCGGACAGATGAGCCCAGAAAGGGATTCACAAAGCGCAGAGAAATCAACTACCAGCTCATGTGCTATAAACCTTGTTCTTCCTCAACTCCCAGGTCCGTCCTTCTTATCTGCCTGGGTCTATTCCCACACATGAGACCAAAATCTCACCTGCTACTTGTACAAGGAAGAGACATGACTCAGAGACAAATATTTTACTATATTGGGGATGGAATAAAGTCAGTTGGCCCCTAACACCTACATTTAGACTAGTAAGTTTCACATCCCATACTGAAACTCCCTGCAAGAGAACCCATCCGTCACTGGAGTAGGATCAGGAGACAATGGTACCTGTGCGCTGGGGAGGCCTGACTACCCCGCGAGACTGAATCACGCACATGAAAAATTTCAGATGAAATTCCTCTTTACGCATGGCTGTCTCCTAGAAATAGAGATGGAGTTTAATCCATTTGAACAGATCTGTGGAATGATTAGGTTGGACAGAACAGACACGGATCAGGTGTGCCCAATACTAAAGGCCTTAGGACATGACAATATAAAATATCAGTATATGAAAGGATACAAATAATCTTCTTTTATGTATTTGACAGGACAAGATCTCCTGAATTCAGTAAGTATTCTCCTTTTTACCTCAGAGTCGGTAAAAGGCTGGGGCCTCCAGAGGCTCCCCTTCTTTAAGTCTGAGCTCAGACTTCTGAGGCCTAGAGGGCCTACTCAGAAGCATTTCTCTAAGACTTCTAGAGAGGGCCTGGGTCCAGAGGCCAAGTTGAAGGACTTGGCAAAAAGTCTGAATGAACAAACGTATTTCTTCTCATTATTTTCTTTTTAAAAGTAGGGCACAGATTACACGTTAATCCATTCAATCACAGGAACACCACCAGGGCCATTTAGTTCTTCAGAGGGCCGACACCTGGGTCCTTTTCTATTTTTACTCAGAAAAGTACATCTCTGGTGGACCCCCAATAGCTTTCCTCACACCTCTGCCCATGTTTCAAACTCCTCCAGAGTTCTGGAAGGTTCTACATGTTTCCGGAGTCTAACCTAAGCTCATCCTAAGATGCTTTTTTTTTTTTTTCCAAATGGCCAATCAAGCATGATGTGATGGAAAGAATACAGGACTGCAAATTAAGAAACTTTTGTTTCCTAGTCCCAGATCTGCCATGCACTTTATAACTTCGGGAAATGACTTCACTTCCCTGAAACTTAGGACTAAAATCTTTCCCACAACCACTACAAGCACCAATGTTCCGTGATTCTCAATAATACATGAAACAGAGCTCGATGTGTCAAGGTGGCCACAAGTTCCCGCCAGTCGAGGGAGGGCCACAGCGAAAAGCTGCCATGGAAACCAGAGCGAAAGCAAAAATCGCCGAGCGGAACCAGAAGACGGCGTGCAAGGGGATCGAGGGAACAGAAAAAAGCGAAGGACGACCGGTACACTAACAGTAATCCGAGAACGGGAACCAGAAAAACCCCAAACTGAAAGGGGAACAGGGAAATGAGGACTTCTGCCTTAGATGGTCCCGGGGCTTCTCAGGCCTGGCCACACTGCGCAGGCGTTCCCCGGGTCCTCAACTCTGCTCTTTGACCTCCCGCTCCACCCCACCCCCCCTCCGCAGCCACCGGGCGGCTCTTCCGGTGTTGTGGAGGCTGTTCCGGTTCGCGGCGGTTCCCGGGTTTTGCGTTCCGCGCCCGGCCGGAAACCCCTTCGCATAGCAGCCGGTTCCGGTTCGGTGAGTGGCGGCGGGAAGCTGGGGGAGGGGTGAGGATGGAGGGAGCCTGGGCCGGGAGGCAGTGCCGGTCCGGGCCCAGCAGCCTGGGCTGGGCTGGGCGGAAGCGGGGAGGGCTGTGGGGACGGCGCTTTTGCCTCTGCCCCGCCCCCTGGGACCACCTCCCCTCCCCCCTGCTCTCCACCGGCCGCGATCTGGCCGGCGGCCGTTAGTTAGGCTTCCCGAGGCCGGTCCTTCAGGCCCCTTTCTCTTGGGCCGGGGAGAGGCCGTCTCCCTCCCGTTACCACGGGCCCGGTCTCAGCGCCCAGCCCTACTTGTGGGGAAAAGGCCGGTTGGGATTTCGGGGCTTTCCCGCCCGGGCAGGGGCTTCTCTCAAGGGAAAGCTGTTTCCACCGGGAAGCTCAGCTTTCTGTTACACCTGCTTCACCTCCCGCCTTCCTTGAGACCTGAATGGTATTTCTCGACTACTTCTGCGTCTCACGTAAACATTTCTCCAACTCTTTTACTCTGTGGTATCTCCCTGAGCTGTGAAAACGCTAGTGCCACCACCAGAGAGAAACGGCTGGACCCTTCTGCCCAGGTTATGAAAATCCCCCTAAACTGCCACGGTTTGCTTACCTGGCTCATCGCCTCCTGGTCATTCCCTTGAACCGTCTCTTGGTTGCTCCCTAACGTGGTCTCTCTGGATATATGCCCGGCTTCTCTTGAGCTTGGTGATTTCTGTTTATCGGTGCCTCTGCAGTGTGTTCACTATCTTGTTGGCAATAACTTACTCCTTTATCACTTTCAAGTCAGCCTTATTAAGGTCATTTCACTTCACCTTTGGTACACTTACTTGGGGTGGTGGTGATGCTTGTGAAGTTTATATAAAGCCTTACCTAGGCTACCACCTATTTTACTTAGGGTCTTTGTTCTAATTGGATATTCTGAATGGAGTAGATCACATCATCTCCTGAATCTTTATCCTTTGTAGAGATAATTTGTGTTAAGCACTCGTGTTGAAAGATAGATTACACTGAATTAGAAATTAGAGTTGCAGTGAAGCCTTAAGCATCTCGTAAGCATGATCCCTCAACCTTCTTCCAATTTAGAGATCCCGTTTTCCCTTTAGTCCCAATTTTGGAAGCCTCATTTCGTTTTTATTTTGAGAAGTCTCATTCATTTTTGCCCGATTCCAATTAATTATCCCGACTGCAAACCTGGTCTTCGTGTCACCCGTCTGATGAGTTAAATCTGGAGCGAGCAAATGGATTAAAAAACAGGTTCTGCCACTTCAGGCTAAGGTGATGTAACTCTTGACTATGCTTTGAAAGTCTTTCCTTTTCTTTACCTGACTCCCACGCTGCCTGCCAATGCACCAGCTTTATTTCTTGCTATAAGTATCTGTTGATGGATCTGGTTTCCCCCAGTAGACAGTGTTTCAGCAGCAGGGACCAGTTGTTACTCATCTTTGTATCCCTAGTACCTCATATGTAATTGGTGCACAGTAAATGTGTACTAAAGAAGTTGAATGCTTACTGTTTTAAGGTGTTAAGAGTGTTAAGGTGTTTAGAGTCTAATTGGGAGAGATTACATGTAAAAGTATGAGAAACAAAAACAAATAGATGATGATATACTACAAACTGTATCATATATATGATATATATATATATATATATTTGAGTTGAGAGTAGGAGAATTCACACGATCACTTCCACACCCTTCTCATATCAAAAATTATTCTAACATTTGGTCCTGGATAAAGCTAATTGCCTCTCCTTGGTATATACTTACTAGCAACTTCATGGTAACTGTAAACATTCTCTTTTATAACCACCTCTTTTCATGTAAGCTTATACATGTTTTGTTCTACTTGTTACATTCTGTTACTGTCAAGACTTTGCCATCTTTTTTTTTCTTTCAGATCTCCTGTTACTTTTGTGTTCAGCTATTAACTGGACTTCACCTGAATACCTGTAACAGCTTATATTCTTTTAGTAAATTGATGACCAGTGTGAACTAGGAAATGTTATTGGAATACTTTTCTTTCTTTTTTTAATAAAGATTTTTATTTATTTGAGAGAGAGAGAATGAGAGAGACAGAGCGCATGAGAGGGGGGAGGGTGAGAGGGAGAAGCAGACACCCTGCTGAGCAGGGAGCCCTGATAGGGGATTCAGTCCCCGGACTCCAGGATCATGACCTGAGCTGAAGGCAGTTGCTTAACCAACTGAGCCACCCAGGCGTCCCTAGAATACTTTTCTTTTCTTTCTTTCTTTTTTTTTTTTTTTTAAGATTTTATTTATTCGTGAGAGACAGAGAGAGAGAGGCAGAGGGAGAAGCAGGCTCCCAAGGAGCAGGGAGCCCAATGCCGGCCTCGATCCCAGGACCCTGGGATCATGACCTGAGCCGAAGGCAGACGCTTAACCATCTGAGCCATCCAGGCGCCCTAGAATACTTTTCTTAAAAGGAAAATTTCTCAGGCTTGCAAGAATTTGGTGGCATCAGAGTTTCCAGATCCAGCATTTCATGTTGAATCTTGGAGTAAAATATCTCTACTTCTAATGTAAATGCAAATGGCAAAAAGAAAGTAACATAAGCACCTGAAAAAGCTAAATGTATTTGTATTAAAATGTAAATGTGGGGCTTTAATTATTAAAATTATGAAACTGTGGATCCCCCAGGACCATCCCCAACAGATGAATTTTATCTTGCCAAAGTGTATGAATCTTTGAATGAAGATATGTTAAAGGATACCATGTTTTGTGGTGTTTGTTGAAAGCACATTTGCTTGGGAGTTAAGGATACCCTGGATTTTTATCTTCCCTTTGCCCCATCTATGTGATTTCAGGCAAGTCACTTAACCTCTCTGGACATAGTCTCTAAAATTCTTTGATTTCTTGATTCCCTCTTTACATATATCTTAGCAATGCAAAGGAACCAACATGGGATTGTTCTACTGGGCACCAAGCTTTTAAATTGGCATTCTCCTTAAATCAACAAAAAAGGCTAGTGATGACATTTAATGAAATAGCCTAAAAAAGTGAAATGTGAAAAAGCCACTGCTAGTTTATTGGTTGATAGGATTTTTTTTCCTTAATGTGGAACCCAGGGAATTTCTTTATTTAAAAAGGAAGAAGGGGAAAGAATAACCTGGAGAATTTCCAAATAGCAGCTTTTTGTTAAGTTGAGCATTTGGAAACATACTCAAAGCCTAAATATAAGGCTTAAGTTATCTGGGAATCCTCCCCAGCAAGACTGGGTAATCAGATGATTACTCTGCTTAGTCTGTAGGTATGCCAAGAAAAGCTCAAGCAGGCTTCCTTCGTGTGTGCACTTCATTGCAACCATAAGGAGTACCTAATAGCATCATCCAGTCTCGTTAGTAGATTGAAGCCCTGATATTGCTAAAGTGGATTGCTAAAGTTGATTATAAACTAAAGTTGATGAAGTGCTCAATCTTTTTAAAAATATGGTCATAATATTATGAATATAGTAAGTGTGACTGTTACCATCCCTAGTCTCCTCTTGGATCTGCCAAGAATCATGTGTGCCAAGGATATGTTTATTAACCTAGTTCCAAGCAGTTGGGCTTTTAAATTCCTTTTTCTCGGAAAATTAGATACATCAGAGGAGAAAATAATTTCATGTAGGCAAAAGGGCTTTGGTTTGTAATGGGAGAGAAAGTACTTTAGTACAACTGGGAAGTATTTCTTGATTGTTCTTAGAATGTCAGTAGCTATATTTGGCCACTGATTAAAACATATGGAAGAGAAGTCTAATGGTACCACCATAAGATCTGTCACTTGTTTATAAAATGGTTTACCATGAGGTAATAGAGCAATGGATTTCTTGGTTGTAATTTCAGTGCAGTCACTGACTAACTTTATGACCATATGCAAGTTAATCTCCAAAGGGTTGGCACTACCACCTTCTTGCTGTAATAGTCTGTGATTCTGTGGGTAGTTCATAATTGCTGTTTATTATAGCTCAGGGTTCAGAAATGTTTGGAATTGCCTCAGCTAGTTTTAGTTTCTGTTCTCTTCCCATCAAGTCATCTCTTCTTACCACCTTATATTTTTCTCTACTAAGAACGCAAATGTCACTTTGAGTGGCTTCCTGTTCTATAATTATATGAAGGAGCTGTTTCAGTATGTAATATTTCTGTTTTCTGTCTTCTTTTATAGGACTTTGTATCTTTGCTAAAGTCAGTGATGTGAAAGGACCTGACATGGGTAAGTCTGACTATGAAATAGTAATTCAGTCCTTTTAGTTACTCTGATTAGTTCAGTTGAATCGAAAGAATGGTTGTGTTTTTTTTTTTTAACATTTTCAGTATTTCCATCTTTGTGCTTAATAATAATCTTAAAGGAGATCTCAACCTAATTATGTAATAATGTAATACCAGATAATTTTTTTTGGTTGAGACATTGTTTATAGCATCATTTGGAAGCATTTTTCATTCATTGTATTGAAAAGGCCAGATACACACTAGCAAACATTTATTATGTGCCAGGCCCTGTTCTGAGTACTTAAAATATATTAATTCATTTCATTTTTTACAACTGCCTTACACAGGTGCCTAATATCAACAGGGAAACTGAGGCACAGAGGTTAAGAAACAACTATAACTGGTAGAGCCAGAATTTAAACTCAGGCAGCCTGGTTCCAGGGTCCTTATTCTTTCTTGCTGTGTTATACTAACTTCTGTATGATAAATAATTTGATTAAGGTAGATTTTAAATTTCGTTTAGCTAGTAGCATTGAGAATTAATTGTGATTACAACATTTTCCACTATTTATAGTTCTTTATGTCTATAAAGGGGATCAATACAAGGTCAGGACTAGTAGCCAGTTAGGAATAGGTTGAACAATTTATTTATACGGTTAGATCTTATAACATTCCATGTGCTCCTTTTTAAGTCACGTTAGTCTTTTCTCTTCTGTTTTTTTCTGTTGCTTAGTCTACCTTCTCTCTTCCCTGGTCATTTGTTTCACTTTTTCTCTAATTGTTGATGTCACTGTAAGTCACTGAGTTCTGTCACTCTGATCTGTTACTATTCTAGCTCTTTTATACTAACAAAGATCTCAAAGGTGGTGATACGTCCTCTATCAAAGGTGGTTATAAAGTAAGGTTCTGCCATAGCATCACAGTAATTGAGCTGATATCTGTTAAGAGCCAGATAAATAAATGATACTTTTTGCAGAAAAAAGTTCGGGAACATTAATTTTTAAAGCACCTTTTTGAGTTAGACAAAGGAAATAAACAGTTGTTAACAGTGTTTGTTTCTGAATGGTGAAATTTCTTTCCTTTTTTTTTAATAGTTAAATTTTTTCCTACAGTTAAAACATTCAAAGTTTTTTTTTAGGGAAAATTTCGTTTTTTTTAAAAAACTTTGAATTAAGCTTTTTTTTATACTTGCACAAGTTTGGAACTATTTGGTAGATAGATGATCTCAGTCAATTCTAAATGAGCCAATTTCTGCATGTGGGCCTCTTTTTGACAGTGACATTTTGAGATTTCTGGCTAATGGTTAGTTTGGAACGAGAGGTTTTATTTGAGTATAGAGATGTTCTTTGGGAATCATTTTTATTAGGTGAAATGATTTGTTCATAGGAAAGTAGTTATTGAAGAATTATGTGACCTGAATTAATTGGGATTCTTTCCCCAGATGATATTGCTGATAGGATGAGGATGGATGCTGGAGAAGTAACTTTAGTGAACCACAACTCCATATTCAAAACCCATCTCCTGGCACAAACAGGTTTTCCAGAGGACCAGCTCTCATTTTCTGACCATCAGGTTAGGAATAATTTCTTCCCTTAGTTAATGAATTAGTTTGGCTTAAGTTTTCATCTGATGTAATTTAAATGCCACACTCAAAAGGATAAACATATATCAACTTTTTAGTATCAGTATTTCTGGTGTTTTGAATTCTTTTTGATATATTAAAGTTAAGACAAGAACTAGGCTGTGTATGAGTTTTTTGAGAACAATATCTTTTAGAAAACTTTTTATTATTTCTGTGCGTATTACAATTACCAAAGCACAGGTCAGTGTTCTTTTAAACTAGTGTCTTAAAACTGCTGAGCATTAAATGTGGGGAAATATGTAAATATACAGAAGCTTTGAGATTTCCCTGTGCTATAAAATGTAATTTCTCAAAGGACTAGTATCAACAGGATCCCCTGGGAGTTTGTTAGAAGTGCAGAATCCCAGGCTTCACCCCAGACCTACTGATTCAGAATCTACAGTTTTAAAAATTTCCAGCTGATAAATAGAAATACCACATGGTCCAATAATTTTCTCCTGGGTACTTACCCAAAGAAAATGAAAACACTAAGTCAAAAAGATGTATGCACCCTTATATTTATTGCAGCATTATTTACAATAGCCAAAACATGGAAGCAACCTAAATGTCCACTGATAGAAGAATGGGTAAGGAAGATGTGGTATACATATACACATATCATGCAGCCATAAAAAAAGGATGAGATCTTGCCATTTGTGACAGTATGCATAGACCTAGCGAGTATTATGCTAAGTGAAATAAGACTGAAAGACAAATACCATACGATTTCACTAATATGTAGGATCTAAAAAACAAAACAAAATGACAGAATTTGATCTGTAAATACAGAGAACAAACTGATGGTTGTGGGGATGGGAGGTGGAGCAAAGTGGGTGAAGGTGAGTGGGAGGTACAGGCTTCCAGTTATGGAGTGAATAAGTCACAGAAATAAAAGGCACAGCATAGGGAATATAGTGTGACAGATGGTAGCTACATTTGTGGTGAGGATAGCATAACATATAGAAAAGTTGGATCACTATGTTGTACACCTGAAACCAAGGTAACGTTGTATGTCAGCTATGCTGAAATTAAAACATTTTTTAAAAAAAGGAAAAAAAAAAGCTCCAGCTTGTTTATTTCCACATTAAAGTTTGAGGAACATTGTTAATAAAGCAGTCTTTCTCAGTAGGAAAGCCATTACTGTTATGGATGAGACAGTTCTTTACTGTGTGAATCTCTCCCAAGCAAAGCAGAATGTTTAGCATTCTTGGCCCTTGGGCACTAAATATGTGTAACATCTGCCCCCAATAATCATTTTTGGAAACTGAATATATAGTCACACATTTCCAGGTTGGTACTGGGGTGCAGCCCCACCCCTGATTAAGAGCTTCTGTATGAAGTTATCAAAAGATTCAAAACCAGGTTCATTTGTCACCCTCTTTGATAAATGATACAACTGGCTTTCAGAACAGGATATACTATGTGCATATTTACCTTTTAATGAGTATCCTTTGAATTAAGTTGTATAACAGATACTTTGCCTATTTTTCCCCTTGAAGCCTCAGTCATCAGATTGCCTATGCGTTTTCCTTTCTTATTAGTATGTAGTTTCTTTATAATATATAAAAATATAGTTATACTGAATTCTGAAATATGTCATAACCTTGTTTAATGATACATGTTTCCGAACATAAATTTTTATTCCGTTTTATTGTCAAAAATATGATTTAAGAAAAATCTTTTGCTTTGTTTAGATTTTACCTTCCAGGGAAGGAAATTTGGACCGATCTTATACATGTTCTACAAGAAGTGCAGCTTATAATCCAAATTATTATTCAGGTATGACATATTACTTGGAGTCACAGCATTTGTACCATTCAGATTTCTTCCTAGCAAATTGTGTATGTTTACCATCTCCAGAGCAAAAACATTGTCAAGAGCAAAATGGTATTTCCTCCACTAAAACATCACTGTGTGTGTGTGTGGGGGGAGGTTACTATAATACTTTACTGACCTAGTCTCAACCACTTATATTTAATGGAAAAGTTTTTGGGGATCCGTTTTCTTACTTGTTCATTATGTCATTGTGAAAAGCAGTACAGCTTTGGTTTTGACTTTTTTTTTTTTTTTAAGATCTGTGTGTATGATGTAAAGGATATTTGTTTTGGATTGATATAAAGCACAGAGTTAGCCTATTTCTATTCTGCTTGAAACCATGAATCCTGAAAAATTATTTCTACCCAAGCTTGTCCCTCCATCAGGGCAGGAAATGTTAACTACATGTTTCTATCTAGCACCTGCCACAGCCATGCTTGCATATTCAAGGGCTTGCCTGTTCAGCTTGTGATCCATGGCAGAAATCAGCATTCTCTAGGCTCTTCCTAGTCCCTGGCCTGCCCGACTTTCCATCTGCCCCCTTCCTAAGGTTAGGACTTCCGGTGATCTTCTGGCTCTGTCTTGGGGAAGCTAAGAGGTTTTTATTGATTAGCTTCCTGGCAGTACGACCCAGGAAGGTTATAGTGCCTTCCCATGTCTTATCACTCCTAATGCTTCAGTCTCCTTACCTTCCACAAATATGGGAATATTAGTAATACTGTTGAACCTGCCCTAATAGGATTTTTATAAGGATAAATTGAGGTAATAAATATGAAATGCAAATAATAATTATTGTTATTTGGCTTCCTCAGGATTCTTTGTCAGCAAGATGAGATCTCGTCCCCTAAAAAGACGTTAGTATGATGATCTTTTAGATTTATATTATATTTAAATGTCATTTAGGTGGGTGGTACTTTACCCTGGGCTCTGAATTTCCTCTCGTGGTATGGGAAATGGCCTCCACAAAGTATGTGCATAGTTTGTATAGGAAAATCCGTTAACTGGCTTAGAAAGTAACTCTGCCATCATTATTATTGGAAAGGCCTTTCTGATGAGCAGAGAGCCTGACATCTAGTTGGATAGTTCATTATTAATCCTAGGAAAAGGACAGTTGAGTGGATAATGAAATGAGATCATTAATATTTCCATTTGAACTCAGGCTGTGTTTGCTTATAATTTCATATTGTTGATTTACCATTGGATAGAATATTTACTTTTAGTTTAATTGCTTAATAATAAACAATTATATATAGAAAATTATACTCAAAATCTGCTGACCATAATAACTCAACTCTGTGGCCTTATCCATGTGTACATACATGATACACATTGATTCAATACGTATCTTTTTTAGCCCAATATTTTAATTTTTACTTTTCCATCTGTTTACATGTTATTCTTGGTGTCTACCTTTTTCTGTTGATTTCTAATAATCCATGGAACTGATATGCACATTCACAATGCTTTATGTGCAATTCCAAAATCCAAAAAGCTCTGAAAACCAGAAATTCTTTTCATAATTCATTTGGCATCCAAACTGACCCGACCTGAATTCATTCCTTGGCAAAACCCACATGAATTGACATGAAGCTATTTATATTTTTTCTTCTATTTATTTCTGTAAATATGAGTATTTATATATTTCACTGCAGATATATCAATGTGTTTGATTACAGGGTGCAGCTTCAAATTATACCTTGAAGTGTTACATAGTATATACCAGGTTATCTTTCTAAAATTCCAAAAATTTTAAATTCAGAAGTGCAGTGGGACCTAGGGGACTATGATTTAAGATAATGGTCCCATTCCTTCATTTGCTTCATTATTTTCTCTATAGTTTAGGTCTCCTTCACACTCACAATTTTTAGCTATTGTAAATAATATGACTTAAAAACATTTGTATATGTAGCCTTTTTTCTTTTAAATTTCATTACACCTTTGATATTCATAAAGGTTATATCCGAGATCATCTCAGATCTTAATGTTCTTGACTATGGTGGTATTTGACCAGATTCTTGGCTTTCTACTCACTTGCATGACTCTTGAGAGGTACATTTTTCCTATGTTTGTCATCATACCATAAGTTGATCCCTATATCAGAATGTTACACTGAAGTTTTGTCTCTCATTTGAAGGCTATTTTTTAGGGGAAAAAAAATTACTTCATAACAGTTACTGTATACATGGTGATGAATAGCGAATAGCAACAGTGAATAACAAAGCCATATTGAAATGGGGATGCTATTAGATTCATTCTCTAAATTACAGCCTGAAGCAGAGGATTCAGATTTGTGCCTCTACCAAATTTCATCTCATCCCTGACCAAACAAATGTATGGCATGTCACGGTCCTCCAGGGTTGCTCTCTGACAATCAGAATTTTAAATCTGTGAAGGCCAAGGGTTTCAATACTTTTTTCTTAAAGTCTTCAATTTAAATCTACTTTTTACTTGTATTTTTCTTAACTTCGTTCCTTTGCCACACCCATTCCAGTTGATTTTAAGTCCTGTGGAATTTTGTCTCTCCTCTCTCCTTTGTATGTCTTTTCCGATAATTCCCACATTGATTTCTGAAGTCAGTCACCTTAAGCTTCATTGCTTCATTAGGTGAGATGGGGGTCTCCAGTTTATCTGCCTTAGTCTTCTCATTCTGTCTTGGTGTTTGTCTCCTCTCTTGCTATTCTCTTTTCCATCAAGGTGAAAATAAACACGGGAAAGCCCTAAACTTTAGAATCTAGGGTCTGGAGCTTACCATTTACTGCTTTACTGCATCTGCCTCTCTGTATCAAGTTTTTTAAAAATCTGCTTCTTAATCCACTTAAGATTAGACTATTTAAAAAACTCTTTTTTAGAAGGCAGAGAAAATGCAACTCTTTTACTTTAATAACTTACTGCTGGTCAGACTTCAAGACCTCTTGCTTTTATTAACACAATTGAAAATTAAAACATTTTAAACACTAAACAAAAGTAGATTAAGATGAAAAAAATTATTTTGCTCATGCTTAGAATCATTATCAACATCTCATCTTTGGAAAATATGTTAAATTAGGTTGCCATACTGGCATTTAGTAGATGATTTAAAGCATCCTGCTATTTATAATAACTAAATCTGAAAGTTAACAGGAGCAACTGATGATGGTTATTTTCATTGTAAGTGATTGCCTGACATACTTTTTTTAAAATATAAAGTTTATTTCATTATGTCCATAAAAGTATTGCTTGTCCTTGTAGAAAATTTGTAGAGAAAGGTAGAAAAATACCCATCATTCTATTATTGGAAGACAACCAAAATTAAACTTTTGGTGTATTTCCTTATAGTTTTGTGTGTGCATATGTACACATAGTAAGTTATCTTATTTGTGGTGTTTGCAATCTGATTTCTTAATGATGACAGAATACCAGGTTAAACCATCACTAAAAAGAGTGTCTGCAGCCCCATGTGGGTCCCTCTCTAGCTCTGCTTGATTACATCAGCAATAGAAGACTACTGATTGCTTTCGTTGAGTGGGGATGGAACCACCTTGTTCTGGTTAAACAGACTGCCTGATCCTGTGCTCTTCCTTTGCATTTAAAAGCCGAAGCCTTTGTGAAATGCCCTTGAGGAGGCTACTTTGGCTTATCCTTGGTCTCAAATTTCACACTTATCGGGGTAATTTTGCATTTTTGGTAGACATTCCTCAAGTAGACATCTCTAGTTAGATCATTCCCTAATCATATTTTAGCAAAGAAGCGTAAGAGACAGATTTCTACTGTTACTACTTTGCATTTAAAGATTAAAATGTTCTGGTCCTTTAATGCTACTAATTTTTTTTTATTAGCCTTATGTTTCTCTCCTTAAAGTAGTAATAGTAATAGATGCTAAGCATAGATACTGATTGCAAAGGTACAAGGTTATAATTAATTTTGAGAGTAAATTTAATAATTAGAGTAGGTTCATTCAGTGGTGAATCAACTGGTACTAATACCACCCCGAATGCTGCTTTTTTTTCCTGTCTTATTTATCCTGAATCCTGATAATCTTGATCAAAAAACTCACAAAAAACAAACAAAAAAACCCCACAGTACAAAACTTATTTTTGTCAGCTACCCTATTTTTTGGTTACAGTATCAAAAGCCACATTAAATATTTTAAATAACATAATATTGTGCAGAGTTCTATAGTGATATGCTATGAAAGAGGATCTTCAAAATGATGTTAGCATTAGGCAAAAATTCAGGAAATAGAGAATTATCATTCTCATTTTTCCACTGGTGCTCCTCAGAGTTCCATAACCTGACATCGGAAGTTATTTTGAAGGTGCTGTTTTAAATTGTTTGATCCTGCTGATAGGGAGAGGTGGATTTAGAAATTACTCTATTCCTGGGGCACCTGGGTGACTCAGTTGTTTGAGCATCCAATACTTGATCTCGGCTCAGGTCTTGATCTCAGGCTCGTGAGTTCGAGCCCTGTGTTGGGCTCCTCGCTGGGTGTGGAGCCTACTTAAAAAAAAAAAAGGAAAAAAATTATTCTATTCCTAGCTGAAATTTCAAGAGACTTTTCTTACCCTAGTTTGTAAGCCACAAGTCAGGAGATTCAAATAATAAATAATCCTCACTTAGTCTGATTGCAGTAACAAGCATCGGAGGGAGTATTGATATGTCTGATGATTATGACATTAAGTGACCGAAGGTTGTCATACCAGAACCAGATGCATACAATGGGTCATTCCTGCCATAAGCCAGCCAGAATAAGCAGCAATGAGGTTATCTCTGTTCTTAGAGAGAGCCCCTGAGTCGTGAACATGGTAATTAAAAATAAGAAAGTGACACCAGCTGCTTATTAAGCAATAACTGTTGTTCATTTGAATTACAATTCTCCTTGGCCCTCCACCTGCTTTCTTACTGGTCTGGCCTACCTTCTTTCAGGCCCAGGCCTGGGAGTGCTTGCAAGATATAGTTGGGGTAAAATGTTGACTTTTGGTGGACACCACGGAGTCACATTGATGCAGATAAGGCACATGGCTGTGGCAGGATTCAGCTCCTTCATCAATTTTCAGGTTAGTATGGCTGAATCAATTATAGTTTGTAGAAGTTCCCTTACTGCAGACTTTACTGGCAGTTGAGACTGGGATCTTTCTTCCATGAGAGACATGGTGCTTTACCACATTACTTTGGAATACAATGTTGGACATGGTTGCAGTCATATGGAAAACTACTACTGTAGGTGTTTGTCTAATTATTCAAACTTTTATTCTTTTAGACAACCCTCCCTCAGACAGTTTTCTTGGCTCAGGAGATTTAAGAACCTTTGGCCAGAGTGCAAATGGCCAGTGGAGAAATTCCACTCCAGCATCAGGTTCAACTTTACAAAAATCAAGAAACAGCCGAAGTCTTTACCTCGAAACCCGAAAGACCTCAAGGTAGGTATTCTGGCCTCCTAGTTCACAAGCCTTTCCTCTGATATAAGAGAAAATGGCCATGAGATAGTTGTTGACATTGGCATTGTATTTTATTTATTTTTGGGGTGCAAAAAGGTGGTTTTATTAAAGCATGGGGACAGAACCCTTGGGCAGAAAGAGCTGTTGCCCCCAGAATTGTGGAGAGCAACTTGACATTGGCATTTTAAAGGAGTAACATTGTTTCTGAATTTTAAACTGAAAATATGGACAAATCCATTTTAAACCTTCAACTTTTAATTTACTTGGTGCTGAATTTTGGTGACAGCCAAAGTTTCTCATTAGAGAAGAGTTTTGAGGGAAATCTTGGTGCATTTGAGTATTTTGGGATTAATATGGCTGTTATGAATCTTAAATTTCTACAACTTCAGTAGCAAAGAAATCAGTACATTTTATAGGCTCTCACATGAGCAGAGACCTGGCTTAAACCAACGAAGTTCTGCACTTCATGGCCTTAGTCAACTAGACTTAAACTACCTCTCTTAGAAAATAGAGTTATGAATTCTTTGTAACTTTTCTTTTTCCTTTTTAGCCCAATTTCATAAGTGCTACCTATTCCCTCACCAAGCTTATACTGATCATTAAAGACAGATGAGGTTTGGCTTAGAAACTTTTCCCTCAGGAACTTTATTTGTAAAATATATATTTTTTAAATATTATTTATGACTTCTTAAATTTTACTCTGGTGTTGGATTTTAGGAATGTCAGATCATTTAATTTCCTGCTTAGGCAAGGCTAAGCTTTCTGGTGTTGATAGAAACCAATGAGATAGCTTTTATTTTATGATTATTAGCACATGGACTCTGGAAACATGTGTCAGTACTCGCAGGGGTCTTCCCCACTTCTTAACATATTTTTAGATTACACAAGAATTCATTAATGCATTCACATTGTAAAAATTAAAACGTTGCCAATAAAACTAAAGATCCTTGACCATTCCTCACAATCTTATTCCCCTCCCTTTGGTGTGTTTCCTTCCAAACCGTTCCCCTATGCTTGGGTTTTTTTTTTTACTCCTATGTAGCATGAGATATATGCTATGTATACTATGAAATGTATAATGCTATTTTGTCTTCGTTGAAGATTTTCTATATGTATTATTTGGCAAGTTGCTTTTTTTATTCGATAAGGCATACTGTTATTTTTTTTAAATAACATTATTATAGAAACAAATACATGTGCTTTGTAAAGATTCAGAAAATACAGATAGGTAAAAACATCATGTTTCCACCAGTGAGAGATCACCTCTGTAATATCCTAGTGCATATCTTTTCAGATAGTTTTCTCTGCATTTACATGAATTTTCTGGGTGGTTATTGCCCTTAAGTCTCTTACAGTCTAGAACAGCCCTTTTTCCTTATGACATGACTTTTTCTTCATGATGTTCCACCTTTTGGACTTGACAGGTTTCTTCCTCATAGTATTATTTTGTCATCTATCTTCTGTAGTTTTTGTGAACTAGATTTTTGTCTTGAATAAAAGCTGGTGCTATGTTATATCACATTAAAAACCTACAAATCTGGTTCTCCTCATTAGTGATACTGGATTGACCTCTGGATTAGAGAGATACAATCTGGTCCTTTTGTGCAGTTAGTTTTCTCCCCCTTTTCATGACTAGAATGTAATCTAAATGATGATACTTGGCATTATATCAACGACCAATTTCACATCAGCCTAATAGTTACTCATATCAATTGATAATCCTTGCCTGATAATTTTTTTTAAAATTGAGGTGAAATTGGCATACAACATTATATTAGTTTCAGGTATATAACATGATGATTCAATATTTGTACATATTACAAAATGATCACAGTAAGTCTAGTTCACATCTATCGGCATACATAGTTACAAAATAGTTTTTTCTTGTGATGAGAACTTTTAAGACCAACTCTCTTAACAACTTATAAATATGCAATATAGTATTATTAGTTATAGTCACCATGTTGTACATTACATCCCCAGGACTTATTTTATCCTTGAAGTTTGTGCCTTTTACCTTTCTTTGACCTGATAATAGAATAGTTTTATTAGAGTTAATGAAATAGTACTTTTCCAATGTTACTGTTTCTTGTATACTTATTGTCATTCTGCTATGAAGGGGATTTTTTTTTTCCTCATTAGGTAGGGTTGTATGGTTACCCTGAAATACATCTCCTACTGGGAAGGCAGGAGATAGGGTTAGATCTTTCTTTTTCATTACCAGTATTCAAAGTAGATTTGTTTTTGTTTTTTAATAGCCACTTCATGTGGTTCAGATGAATTTTTCTATTCTTTTTTAGTGTTATTCCAGATTCAGTGTGTTTCAGTCCACTACAGTCATTATTCTTTTAATGTTCACATTCTCACAGTTTTGTCTACTGGGTCTCCTTCAAGCTCACTGCTGTGTCTGGCCCAACCTCTTTAATTGTAGGTAGCATCCTTGCTTTCTGGCATTGCAAGATACCCTCCCACCTGTTTTTTGTTTAGAAGAAAGTCTTTTGCATTAAACACACACACACACTCTAGGCAGCATCAGTGCAAAAGGCATTGTGGGGAATTCATTATATCTTCACCAGACAAATTATACTGCCCTTGCCTTCTTTTTGTAGCAGCATCCACCCATCCTAAGGAAATAAGCCTGTTCCTGAAATTCTGACTCCTTGTTTCTTTCCCCACTCTAACACACATAGAAACCATTGTAATTTGAAGAGTTAGAGAGCATGTAAGTGATTTTTTTTTAAGTCTGCATTTTAATTCCAGTTAACTCACAGTGTTATATTAGTTTTAGGTGTACAATATAGTGATTCAGCACTTCTACACACCTACCCCGGTGCTCATTACAAGTGCACTCCTTAATCCCCATCACCTGTTTCACCTGTCTCTCCCACCTCTACCTACTCTTTGGTAACCATTAGTTTGTTCTGTATAATTAAGAGTCTGTTTCTTGACTTGTCTCTCTCTTTCTCTTTTTTTTTCCCCCTTTGAGAGAGTATGTAAGAGCTTTTTTATTTTCTTTACACCTAGTCTGATTTCATTTGGATCCAGACCAAATGTACTGATTTAAAGAGTTGATTTCATTGAATTCAACTTAGTCGGTTGTGTATCTCTATTCTGCATCCTTAGAAAACAAAAAAAAAAAAAGAAAATTCAGTATGCTGAGAGCAAGTAGCTCATAACTTGCTGGGCAGTAACAGATAAAAAAGACCACACAGAAAGATAGAAAGAACTTTAAATTATTAATCTAGTCTTAGAGATAAGACTTGGTTTTAAGTTCACAAAAGTATTTTTCCTGCCAGTTTTTTCTATTATTTGGGGTGCACAAATAGTTTAAAGAAACAAAACAAAATTCTCCTTCAGAGGAGGTAGTTAGGCCAGAAGAATTGACAGTGATGTAGCCTAGGAGAAAGCCTTCTGGTTGTTTTTTAATGAAGGAAGGGAGCCATCTGTTGGTTTTTTTAGGAAATTTTAAAATTCAGTTTAAAAGCTCCATTGAGAGGCTTCAGCTTTATCCATCTTTGCACACTGAATCTTAAAATAATTCCCTCCAAAGGACTTGTGGGAGGAGGCTGCAGCGAGTAAATAGAAAGTGTATGTTAGATCCCTCAAACCCAGGTTTTCTGAAGAAGTCTAACCTGACGTACTTGTTGTCATACTGCGCAGGTCTTTGGTTCCTGACCAAAGGAAATATAAAGCTAAGAAATACAATTTTGGATGTTTGATAATTATATAGTATGGCAGTCTAGGACTTCTTAAGTGGCTGAACCTGATGCAGCAACCCATGTATCATTTCTTGTATATTTCCCTCAAATGGTACATCCCTCATTCTGCCTGTTGGTGTTGGTTTTGTTGACACTTTGGTGGTTTTTGTTATTTCCTGAAAGTAAAAATCACTAGGTTCGATTTTCTTGCTGTTCTTTTCTTACAAACTCTGGGGGGTTTTTTTTGTTTTGTTTTTTTTTTAGTGGATTATCAAACACTTTTACGGGAAAGTCAAACCATCACTGCCATGTGTCTGCATATGAAAAATCTTTTCCTATTAAGCCTGTTCCAAGTCCGTCTTGGAGTGGTTCATGTCGTCGAAACCTTTTGAGCCCCAAGAAAACTCAGAGGCGACATGTTAGTACAGCAGAAGAGGTAAGGAAAACCTGCAACAAAGGCTGCTAAAGGTTAGAATCTTTCCCTGTACTTAGCCATTTGTTCCCTCTGATTTCGATGTTTATTAACCATTCCATTTAATCCTTTATGTGCTTTTTCTTTCTTACTTTTTTGAGTGCCGTCATCTGTGCTAAAGAAATTAAAGAGAGATTTTAGCAGGACTTCATTTCTCTTACTGTTTTCTATTCTTGTTGAGCAGCAGACTTAATTTTCACTATTTTCTAAATGACTTCTCATACATCAAACTACCTCTGTTCTCTCTTTTTTGGACCCTTCCTCAACTCGAATTTCTTGTGGCAAAACTGTTAACCTTGCTGGATTTGATAAAATACCTGCCCTTATTTCTTATTAGGACAATTTTCCCTCAGTATAAAAAGAAAATCAAGAAGCCAGCTAAATAATTTATGTCCCTTCATTATGAGTAAGAAGATCTTTGAGATCATAGATATTCCCCAAAAGAAAGATGTTTTGTTGACACTTTGGTTGTTATATGCATTCAGTAAACCTAAAGGAAAAAAATCAATTCTGTAAATATAATATGGCGTATAATTTATGTGGTAGAGAATGGGCTTGTACCTGTCAAATACTTGTTATGCATCTAGTCAGCCTTGGACTGCTTGCTATGAGGATACAAATAAATAACAATACCTTACATTTATGTAGCATATAGAGTTTCCAGTATTCTTTCCACATGTATTATTATGTTGAATCATTTTAATCCTGTGAAATAGGTAGAGATGAGGTAATATCCACATTTTATACATATTAGGAGAGTGAAGGTCAGAGGTCACACAACTAGTACATGGCTAGCCTACAACCCAGATCTTCTGGAGTCTAGTCTGGTAGCATCCTGTTATACAACACAGTGGTGTGGTTCCAGCCCATTGGAGCTTACAGACTGGGGAGTCAAGAATACAGCATTTTGTGCTAAATAATTAGATAATTTGGTAATGAAGATCTTTTAAGTGGCAAACTTTGTGACATGGTTAGTAAAAATGCTATACATTCTGTTTGGTTTTATGTTTGTACTGAATCTGAAATATTTTAAGCAGAGGGTGACAGAAGTAGTAAGTCATATTTAGTAGAGAAAGGGTAGACGAGAAACTGGCAGCAGTTGGCTTTGGTGATGAGAGCTGAGCAACAGTTATAAAAGTGAGATTTATCTTTCACTTTTGTACTACTGAATTTAGTACCATGTATGTATTGGTTATTACATAAATAATATTTTTAGATTACTGGGGTTGCTTCTGCTGGAACCTAGGCAGCCTGTGGGGTCCAGTGAGACTTGTGGGGAAGGAGACAGCAGCAGCATGGTGGCTGGATATTGGCCTCCCAACCCTCCCCTGCCTCACATGGCTGCCGCTGAGATCACCGGGATCTTTAAGATTATCTGTGTTCATTGTAAGCCCGCCATTCGCCCACTACCCAAACAGTCCTTTGGACCACTCAGCCCCTCCTCTTTTCACTTCTACCTCCATCTGAGGACTTGGGCCAGCTGGATTATTTTCAACCCTCCACGCCACGGGCTGGCCCATGTAGGACATGAAGCTGGAGTTCCCCTTCCTTCTACAGTGCCAAAAAGATGCCAAGGATTTAACCTATCCCATGCAACAAGAGATGCAGAAAATTTTGCATCAATCAGTTGTTTTTAGGTCTATATTCTGCTATGAGAAGCGACTCACTTGTAGTATAGAAATATGGAATCACCCATATAATACAAGTAAGACAAAATATTGGACGAAACTTTATTAAATCAGAGTATCAACAGATTATTTAGATATTTAGTCTTGGATAGTATGGATAATCTAGATTAAAATATAATACTTTTTTCCCCCTGGGAATAAAGAATTTACTGGTAGGAGCTTACAAAGTAAGGAAAAGTTATTATCCATGGAAATATTGGGATCTCCAAGAGAGATACAGTTGCTTATGTTAAAGAAGGAAAATTATGTATTAATTTTACTGCTGGATTTATCACCTTCAGGAATCTAAAGCCATCTATAAAATTAACATGATGTGACCACTGCACTGTTCAGTCTTACAACAGGAGTTTAAAGAGAATACATAAAGAAGAATTTGGAAATACGTAAGTGGTGACCAGTCCACCACTTGGCTGATGGCTGATTCAAGGATATCATTAAAGAACTGTGCTGTCAAATAGGGTAACCACTAGTCATATGTGCTACTTAAATTAATTCAGTTAAAATAAAAAATTTAGTTTCTCAGTCACATTAGCCACATTTCAAGTACTCATTAGCCACATACTCTGTTGGCTGTCATGTTGGACATGTTGCTAAGTGGCTACCATGTTGGACAGTATCTCCAACATAACTAACACTGTTTGGAGGATGTGGATTTCTGTTTGGGAAAGAGAAAATACTAGGGATTTTAAAAATGTAAAACAGTAAAAACTGTTTCTTTTCACTTATATGTTGCTTCCAGGCATGCTTCTCTGCAACATATTGAGCAACATTTTAGGATGTTGGACTTTCTTAATAGATGACACTGGTGGTTTTATTCTTTAAAAACAAAACAGACTTTACAATTTTGTTATAACCAAGAATTTTGGACTTAAAGTTGTTGAATTATGTACTTTTGATAGTTGAAATTTATTTATATAATATAAATTTTAAACAGAATCAAAGTTGGGAGATTTATGAAGTTATTTGAATAATTTACAAAAGATTTTACTAGTTTTCTAAGATTTATTTTGTGTTCTCTGTTAAATTTTTATAATTTTACAGTTCAGTTTTATGATGGAGACTCTTAACAGAAGCATCTAAATGCAAGAATCTGCCAAAAAATCTATTTTTTAAATCTATTTTTAAAAAATAGAATTCAGCACCTTATATATCTTTATACTGTTTTAAAACTTTCCTTGGTGCTTTATTATGTTTAAAACGTAACATCAGTCAATTTCTTTTACTTTAACATATTATCCAATTATTATTTCCTTCCCTCTTAATTTCTTAATTTGCTTACTCGGTAGGAACAGTTTAATAAATAATGTACAGAGAAAGATGTTTTCTTTTACTTTATAGTACCAGATGCTCCAAAAAAGAATTGTGTTTGAAGTTTGAAGTGACTTACCTTTTTGCATTTTCTTTTGGTAAAGCCAAATGTTATATATGTTCTTTTGAGAGTTGCCGGGACTATCTTTTCTTTGCCTAAAATAGAAGATAAATTCTTGTGACCTTTAAATTACTGTGTAAAACAGTGAAAAGTTCTTAACCTTTTTTCTATAATTTCTTTTTTTAGACTATAAATTAGTTGAAACTGAAAGTATGAGACTTCAAGAGACCTCAGATAATTATTTGGAATACAGAATATCTATTCCTGTTCATTTTATGGTGTCTAATGACTGTGAGGTTATTCAGGCTTAGAGGATTTTCTCTGAAAAGCTAGGGAAAATATCTGTGGGTGACCTGTGTGTGTTTAATTGATTTTTAAAAATCAGTTCTTTACATTGAATTAATCTAGATTTGTCATAATTTACTTTAGCTGAGTCACTTAATGGCACCTTGGTTCTTCATGTTTTATTTGGAAGTATAAAAATTTATTCTAAGAAACCATTTTGCTGTGTGATGTGAGGGAGGAGAGAAGTGTTTTTAACTTTTTACGGTTGAAGTCTGTAGGGTACCACAAGCAAAGATCCTTTCCATGTCACTGTTCTCAGTGTGCTTGTGAAGTCTTCATGTGATGGGGTTATTTCTTTACATTCCCTTGGTATGCAGAGTAACCTCTTAAACCAATTTCTCCGCTTTATTTTCCTCCCTATGATGTGATAATGCAGTCAAAGCTTTTTAAAATCTAGTTTGGTAGGACAGTGGAAATGAACTTAAAATGATTGGTTAATTAAGAGTGAATTTCCATGATCCGGGTGGAATTACTCTTCTGATTTGCCCTCACTCCCTCCATTTTACCACTCCTGAAAACAACATACTGTTAACCCCATTGTATTGTGGGTTATGAATTAGGTTATTTGGTGTAGTGGAAAGTGGGGTCAAAATTTACATTGGTGGGGTTACGCCTGGGTGGCTCAGTCAGTTAAATGTATGCCTTTGGCTCGGGTCATTATCCCAGGGTCCTGGGTTTGAGCCCCACATCGGGCTCCCTGCTCAGTGGGGAGTCTGCTTCTCCCTCTGCCCCCTCCCCCTGCTCATACTTGTGCTCCCTCTGTCTCTCTTTCTCTCTGACAAATAAATAAATAAAATCTTTAAAAAAAAATTTACATTGGTGGGTGTTCAAAAATTTCAGTCTTTAAAGTGCCAGATAACACAGCTTTCCTGTATATAGATCCCAATGGAGTTGGCTGGCAATCTCTTACAATCTAATAATCTGTAATGAAGCTTCATTCCTCAGACTGTCTACTTAAAGAACCTTTATAATAACAAATTTAGTTTTTAATAAAAAGGCATTTGTTGTAGTTATAGTCTTTAAATTTATGTCTCAGATACTCATGTCCTCCGCAGTACAATAGCCAAAACCTACAGATTTGGTAATTGATATTAATGTATACCTGCTAACCATTATCACTCCTGTGCCGTCACTGAAGTGCCTGCCCAGTACTGTAGACTGTCTCTTCACAAACATTAGGGAAAAGGACTGCTGTCATCTTAAATACAGTATTAATGTGTAAGGGATAAAATAATGGAGTTTATTTTCTTCATATAGAAAATTGCAATTTGTTTTTTCTCTCGGGTCTATTTTTCTACCAGATGTTCAACGAATTTGACCTTATTGCTCATCTGTTCAAATTTAAGGATAGCTCTTTTTAAAAGGAGTTGTCATGCTTCACAGTTCAAGGTGAATCTTGTTAGGTCAGTAACATTATAGTGACAATGTGACTGAAATTTACTATGTAGCAAACAGTGATCAAGAAGAAAAAACTTAGTGTCTGTTTGCCTTTGCATAGATAGTTGCTTAACTCATTCTGCTTTTAATAATTATAATTGAATAAAATGCTTATGCACATATTGAAATGTCATAGTGCAGGATGCTGCTAGCCCTGGCACAAAGTATTAAAATTATTTTGTGAAGATGGGTGGTTGTATTAAACTGTATATAAGATTTTTTTTAAAGTACCAGGGCATGTTATTTAGTGAATGCAGCCCACTGCTTCAGGGGGTCAGTATAGAATAGACGCTTTTCTGTGGTTACAAGTCCATATGTAAACTGGTTCTCTGCCAAGTGACCTCATTTCTTGCTGCTCTTCTGATTCACACTGACCTCACTTCCTTGAACACATCAAGCACATACCTGTCTCAGGGCCTTTGCATTTGCTATTCCTCTACCTGGAATAGTCTTTTATAAATTTCTGTGACTTACCTCTTCCCCTGATACAGGTTTCTCTTGAAATATCACCTTTTTAAAGGGGTCTTACCTGTTCTTGTTCTTTCCCCTCCATCACTTTCTATTCCCTTATCTTTAGTTTTTTCATACTATCTGACTATTCTTGTTTGTCATTCCCTTTAATGGTAATGTAAGCTCCATAAGGAAAGGAATTTTATTCAGTGCAGTATCTCTAGTGAGTGGTGCTTAGTAGGTATTCACGCTAATAAATGAATTCAGTACTGGGGCTTAGGAAGAAGAGTAAATATTGGAGAGGGAAACCATCTCTGGAAAATACTTATACTCTTAAAAATATAGAGTATTTCTACTCTAAATAGAGTAGAAAACAGCAAGGTATCCCACTCTGTTTTTGACTATTCTGGTTACTTCCTTGTGGTTTTTCTAGTAGATGTCAGGACTCCTAGGGTTTGTTGGAATCCTAATTGAGAGATCCTCAAATATTTTGTTTCTGGAACTCTATCAGTTGACTCAAAAGTGATTGCCTACTGGTCTTCTGGTTTCATATCCTAGAGCTTGTCTGCACTGTTATTTACTTATGTGTCCCATAATTTTCTTTCTTTCTTTCTTTTTTTTCTAAAATATACTATCTGGTATTTATTTCATTTAACTCCTCTTATAATTTTCTAGAATATCCCTAATGATAATTCTTAATTATCTTGAGGGACTCTATCTGAACTTTGGCAGAACTTCTGGGAGTGTAGATGCTGTTTTCAAAAAAAAATTTTCCTCACTGGATGTGTCTAAGATTTTTCTTTTTTTGTTCTTTTTTTTTATATAGACAGTCCAAGAAGAAGAAAAAGAGATTTACAGACAGCTGCTACAGATGGTCACAGGGAAACAGTTTTCTGTAGCCAAACCCACCACACATTTTCCTTTACACCTGTGAGTCACAGAAACATATTTCAAATGAATTTAATTCTACATTTTATCATTTGATACTGAAACTATATTCTTCTCTTGCTAGGTCTCGATGTCTTAGTTCCAGTAAGAGTACTTTGAAAGACCCCCTGTTTAAAAATGGAAACTCTTGTGCAGCTCAGATCATTGGCTCTGATACTTCATCATCTGGATCTGCTAGCATTTTAACTACCCAGGAACAACTGTCCCACAGTGTGTATTCCTTATCGTCTTATGCCCCAGATGTTGTGGCATTTGGATCCAAAGATTCTGATCCTCTCCATCAACCCCAACATCACCACTCTCTTCTACATCAGCCAGATAACTTACCAGCTTCAAATACACAATCAGAAGGTAAAATTGGTTTTGTATAACTATATTTTCAGTCCTAATAGCCAGTTAACTATTTATGGGATCTGTGTGAATCACAGGCTAATAAAGTTGTAATATGCATGTAACTTAATTAACGTATAAGAAACTTTAAATACATATAATTCAGTTAGCCATACCACAAATAAACTAAACCTGCAGGTAACTTACTTTTTTCTTACATGGAGATGCAAATGATTTTATATATTTTACTTAAAAGATTAACTGCCTGAGCAGAGTCTAGAGTCAGAGCACAGTGAGCCCAATTACTTCAGTACTTTCTCTGTTTTTAGTACTTTACATTGACCATTAAGTACTCTGAAATTCTAAGAGTTTTGGAACATCAATTAAGTATTGAAGTAAAAGTTCTTAACCAGGTAATACTTAAAAAACCTATATAGTAGGTTTATGCATTTTAGAATGGTCATCAGCAAATTTCAGAAACAAAAAGAGGTTTTTTTGTTTGTTTTTTAAAGATTTTATTTATTTCAGAGAGAGAGAGCACAAGAGGGAGTAGGGTCAGAGGGGGAAGCAGGGAGCCCAATGCAGGGCTCAATCCCAGGACCCTGGGATCATGACCCGAGCGGAAGGCAGACACTTAACCGCCTGAGCCACCCAGGCGCCCCAAAAAGAGTTTTCTACCTAATTTTCAGCTAACCAAAATATCCAGACTCTTAGCATTCCAGTTAATGAAGGCTTTCTATAATTTTCTTTGTTTGCTTAGTTTTCCCCTTCTTTAGCTATGTGTTGTGTGTATTTATGATAGTATGTATTTAGGTATATAACTTAAGTTTTAGGTTAAGTGGTTAGACATTAGGGATTTTTTTTTTAAAGATTTTATTTATTTATTTGAGAGAGAATGAGAGAGGGAGAGAGCACATGAGAGCGGGGAGGGTCAGAGGGAGAAGCAGACTCCCTGCTGAGCAGGGAGCCCGATGCGGGCCTCGATCCCGGGACTCCAGGATCATGACCTGAGCCGAAGGCAGTCGCTTAACCAACTGAACCCCCCAGGCGCCCGACATTAGGGATATCTTGATAGATCAATCTCTAAGGCTCTTCCCTCCTTCCTCAGATTGTTTGTTGTTTTGTTTTTTTTTTTAAGATATTCCTCACTTTCTTAAAATTTTCACTTGGGGATTAAAATTGTTGGTGGCATCATTATATAGCTATCCGTATTCATGAAAACCTTTATAAAATTTTGTGACATGGTTTACTGGGAACTACCATTAAAAAAAGCCTTTAACCTCAGAAACACAAGTTGTATGACAAAGGCTTAGATGCAACTAAACTGAAATATACTGTAGTACATTGAAGTGTTTCATTACTTTTCTTGTACATTTAATAAATATTCTAAATGAGGTTCTAATCATTTAGATTAGGACATGATCCTCTAGAAGGACACAATTCCTGCCTTTATCAACACCGAAAATAAATGATGAAATGATAGAATTTGTACTTTTTAGAATCTGCTACTTCTGCAGCTGTCTTTCTACCTTCTGTTCCCCCTCCTTCTTTCACCTTATTCAGCCTCATGGTAGTTCATGAACTAAAGACTTTTGAGAAATCTTGGCTTGTTCTTGTTCCCCAGGAACAGAAAGCTGCAGCACAGGAATCAAGCACAGCCCAGGAGTAGATGATGAAAGGCATATATACTTGTATTTTAGAATGATTGCTTTCTTTGTGAGGCAAGCTCTTCACTAAGCCCTATTTCTGGCTCAGTGAAAATGGACCTGCCTCTCTTTCTCTTCCATCCTACCTTTGTCCTTATGCTGCATTATTTTTGTGAAAATAGAATATAACAAAGTATGGGAACTTAGACTACAGACATCTAGAGTATATAACTGTGTAGGATTTTATTAATAATGATATGCTCTTGTGTTTCTTTTTTAGGATCAGACTCTGTAATTTTACTCAAGGTGAAAGATTCCCAGACTCCAACTCCCAGGTAAGCTTTGGAAAAAGGACATTCTTGACATATTTTCTTTTTCTTCTCTTTAATCACAATTTCTTCACTAAGAGTTACATAATATAAAAGTCAAACTGCCTCAGTTCAGACCTCTTGCCTGTGTTATTTGAATTATTTCAGTGACTTTCAAATTGGTCTTCTTCCTCTGGCCTCCTTGTTGTGCTTCATTCCATCTTCCACCATGTTCTCAGATCCATTCTTTGCCTGTTCTTTTACATCTTCCATTCTGCAACCGGAGTGGTCTTTTTAAAAATGCACATCTGATTATTCATTAAATTCCCACAAGAGTGGGCTATCAGACATAGAGTCAAGCCCAAACTCCTTAATATGGTATACAAAGCATTTCCTCCACATGCCTCACTTCCTATCACACGTTCTTTCCTTTAACAAGTATTTATTGATAACTCACGTGTGCCAGGTCCTAATACACACACTGAGGCTAATAGTAGTGAACAAAATGAAAGCCCTGCACCCAAGGAGCTTACATTCTGGTTATAAGAGGTGTAAGGAAAAAGATGGGGGACAAATAATGAACAAATAGATAAACATATATGTCTGGTAGTGATAAATGTGAAAAAAAATAAAGCAGGGTAATATATAGACTGGGTTAAGGGGGCACAGTTTATCTGGAGGGTCATGGCAAGTCTGATAAGGGACATTTGAGGGGAGACGTGATGGAGGTGAGAGGAGGAGCCATATGGGAAGATGGGACTCTTGTGTGTGTTCATTACATGCTGAACTATAATATGATATGTACTTACTTACCTTCATAGTCAGTGTTCCTTCTGCCTGGTATGTACCCCCCCACCTCAACTTGTCTATCTAAAGAAGCAGGAGTCTCTTTCTTGTCTTTTAAGTCTCAATTCAAATATGATCTTCTATATGATACTTGACTTCTATATGAAACTTTTTGCTCTGTAATTCAGTCAGTTACTACTTAGATCGTAGTTTCTTTGCCATTGCTGTTTCAATTGCTGAAATGATAATAGTATCAGTTTTCCATTGAGGAATTAGGGATAACGAAATGTTCTTTCTCCTCTCAGTTTCTAAACTTCTTTGCAGCTCTCCTATATGTCCTGAATTTTAGATTTTTAAAGAAAAATTCTCTGTTGTACTTTCTCAAGGAGACTTTACAGTTTGGAGTTCTTATTCTTTATACATTTTTTTTTTCTTGAGTCAGACCTGGGTTTTGATCTTGTCCAGGCATCATGTAACTTTAGACAAGTTACTCTTCTGAACTTTAGTTTCCTTATCAATAAAAATGCCAGTATTAATACCTTACCATTTATTGAATTGCTGTGAAGGTTAACATACACAAAAAGCACTTACAAAAATGTTTTCACACATAGTACACAAAAGTAGGTATTCTTTCTTGGGAAAAGGTCGGTCTCATGTAAAGAGTGCTTTTAGTTCTTTAATGGCTCTTTACTCAGTGTGCCTTTCCTTTATGGAAGATTTCTCTTAGTGATGCCTGAAGAATGAGATGGAGGGAGAAATGGTCTGTTGGGGAAGGCTGATTGAATAATGCTGTTTATTGCAGTTGGAGCCTGCTCTCCCAAGGCTTGGTTGATTGGCTTTTTATTCTTAATCTCCCACTGCTGCCTCTTGGTTAAGGTGTAGCATTGAAGATCTGCCCTTATTTCTCAGAATATGCCATGTTGTTTCCTGTTTTTGTGCCATTGTACATGCTGATCCTAACCCCTGGAATTTTCTTTCTCTCCTTGTCCACTTGTTAAACTCTTGTTTTGCTTTGCAGAATCTGATTCAGGTGTTATTTTCTCCTCAAGACATTTCTCTGACTCCTCCAGATAGCATTAGCCTTTCCTTCCAGTACTTCTATCCCTATATCTTGTTCATTAATAATACCTTTGCACTAATCACCTAATGTTGATCATAATGCCTGGCACATGACGGGTACTTAGTAAACAAATCTTTGTTAAACATGCATTTCCTAGAAAGCTTCAAATGCTCTCTTGAGCAGCTCAAGTACTCATCATCTCCCTATTGGTTTAAGGCTTTGGTTTATTGAAAGGCACATTGCAAGAGTTAGAAAACACAGTCTTTGGAATTGGACAGACATAGTTTCTAATCCTGACTTCCAAAACAGATTATCCTCTGAACCTCAATTTCCTTTTCTGTACACTATGAGTAATAATTCCTTATTACATATTGTATTGAGGTTTAACTAGTATGAGAATTATCATGAGGCTTAACTATTAGAAAACCTCTAAAGCAGAATTTCACACAGAGCACTGAGTAGGTGCTCCGAAGTTGTTTTAGTTATTACTGTGTGCTTCAGTCATATGAAAAATAATGTATAATCTCTTTGAAAAGCAAAAGGATTTTGCTTTTTCCCTTGCATTTTACTTTCCTACGCCAGCAAATACCTTGATCCCTTGAAGAGCAGTACTTTTCCCTTACAGTATTCATTTATTCAGGAAGCACTGAGTACCTGCTATCTGCCAAGCACTATTCTTGGTGCAGAGGATACAGTAGTAAGTACAAAACACAAAAATTCCTATCAGTTTATGGTCTAATAAGGAAGCAGACGAATTTCAATAGCATGATCCAATACCATCGAATTCTGGGCAATTCTTGTCACTTCTTTATATTGTGCAGTAGATGTGTTTTCATGTTTATTTGTTTTTAGTGTCACACACTAGGCCCCTCACAGTGCTACCACTGATCTCTGTGGCTTTCTATCTTGGTTGTTACATCATATTCACTGTGCCAAGGGTGCAGGCCGCTACTTGTGTGTTTTCCCTTTATTAACCTCAGTGACAATGAGGAGGCAATCGAACAGCATTTTCATTGCCAAACCCTAGTCTAAGGATGATTGGGAATACTGATTCCAAAAGTTAGGCTAAGGAGCAAGGGATACCCTCTTGAGTCCTTTTTCTTGCCTTCACTAGGACAGACTGTAGCAGTTGAAGAACTGAAAGGGACTCTGATTTCCATATTTTACAAATCTGAAACTAAGACCCATAGAAATGAAGTGACTTGGTCAAAGTCACAAAGTGAATCAGGGACCACTTCCAGGAGATCCAGGTCTCCTAACAATTTAATGCTTTGTTCTCTTGTTCTGTGTATCTAAGAGTTTTCTGTGGAAAGTGTTCATTCTTCTGTTTGCTTCTGTGAGAGATCCTTCAGTTAGGGATTGGCAAGGAGATGAGGCCATTTGAGAAGAGCAAGAGGCTCTAGGAGAGAGAACATGCCTGGGACTCTTTTGCTAAGCATTATTCATTTGGACTGTCAGCAAGTCAGTGTGGAATAGAATTGGTCGTTCATCTTTGGAGTGGAGTTGTATTGCTGATTTTCTACTTTGATTCATTCGCTCCCTAGCCATTTGATATGGACTCTTGTGTGGGTGGGGATTTTCAGTGTCCAGTATGATTTGATTGAAAATATTTTGATTCAAGTAGACTGACAAGAAGAAGTCCAAGATTTGACTAAATCATTAATAAATCTGTTAATCTGAACCATTTGGGAGGAGTAATGTTCTAGCTTCATATATTGGCAAGTGATGTACTCTTTCACATCGTGTTGGTCTCTCGTGCAAGTAAAGGGCTATGTTACAGTTAATTTCTCTGCTGAACTTTGGGTCATCTTTTTAACTAGTATGTGTGCAAATGACTCATACTTGTATTCCTTTAGTTTCCAGTTGCAATTATTTTATGTAATTTTGGACTCTTTATTTATTGCATACATATAAAGCATTCTTGTAAATTATTTAAATGATTGGTTTTCTTGGTGAAAATATTTGAATTTTCTTATAAGCCTCCTGCTCATTTGTTGTATTTTTTTCCCCATCCATAGTCCTACTTTTTTCCAGGCAGAGCTGTGGATCAAAGAATTGTAAGTTGTTATTTTTGGTATCATTTTTCCTTCTCCATCACTTCCTTTCCAGTTGGAAGTAGTCAATTAGCCAATCAGCCTACCTATATTTAATCAGTAAAGATTCCCTATTTAATATTTATTTATAAAACAACTTTTAAGTTGTTGGATTTTTAGAATTCTGTTGGGGTTGGGACATTTCTGTGTTCAGGTTTATTAAATATGTAACAATTGCTGAAACTAAATTGAATTGGAAAACTTTCAAAGTTAGATATTACATAGAAAGGAAAATGAATGCCCTTATTTTCACACTGATAAAACTAATTTAGTGAATAATTCACATTTCTGGAGTTTGCAAAATTACTGAGTTTTTAGTCTCCAGTTTCAATAACTCACTTGGAGTTATCCAAATCCCTGGTCTTGTTCATTTTTTTAGAGAAAAAAAAAAACCTCATATTTTTTCTTTTGGATCATAAATATTTGAATTGAAACCTCAATGATATCTTGTATTATTTGCTCCTTTGGGATACAGTCTCATTTTTGGGTTTCTAGAATGAAGCTTTAGTTTCTCTGTAATCTTAGAAGCATGCTTTAAAAAAAAAAAAAAAAAGGACTACACATTTACAAATATCCGCAAAAGTCACCTGTTCACGTTTAGCAATAAACTAATAATTTTCATCATTTTGATAAAAATAGGATAATTTTAATAACACCATATGGTTTCACTCTGTCTTAAAATATAAGTGTAGTGTAGCGATAAGTTTAGTGTAAGGATTTTAGATTTTCTGTATGAGGGTTTTATATTTAAAGTTCCTTGTGCATTAACAATGTGCCTGATGCTAAGACGGTGGTCTGCATTTTTGTCCCATTCCTTTTCATTTCCTAGAACTAGCGTTTATGATTCTCGAGCACGGGAGAGATTGCGCCAGATTGAAGAGCAGAAAGCACTGGCTTTACAGCTTCAAAACCAGGTAAACAAAAAATTGGGGATAAGGTTGTAAGTAAATAGCACATCCAAGTTGAAACTAATTTGGAAGATTACCTGGATTTGGGATCAAAGCTATTGTAATTGCAAGATGTTATGGTAGCATAGCATTATATGATTAGTGTATGTCCTTAGTCTCTCCAGCTGATCCTACTCAGTGTATGTAGACAAGTAGTAGTTTTCCTTATCCCACTTATTCTAAAGTTCTTTTTTGCAGAGATTACAGGAACAGGAACACTCAGTACATGATTCAGTAGAACTGCATCTTCGTGTGCCACTTGAAAAGGAGATCCCTGTCACGATCACCCAAGAAACAGAAAAGAAAGGTCATAAGTTAACTGATAGTGAAGATGAATTTCCTGAAATCACAGAGGTAAATTACATTCTACAGATTCTTGTGCTAGCAAGTGTGTTTATAAAAAATACTTTGAATGAATTTCAAACATAGAAGTAATAGAACACCTGGTGTTTAAATTGTATTGCATACCCCTGCTTTCATTTGTATTACAATACCAATCTTGGCTTTCTTTTTAAAGGATTATTGGAAATTGAGGAAAGAATTGTGGGTGGCTTTTCACGACTTCAGTGAAAAAAAACTTAATAAATTTGTGCTTCTCATTTTATGTACATTTTTACTTTTAATGTATGTGTACAATAGTTTGACATCAAATAGTAAGCTGAGGCGTACTATTTTTTTTAAGTAGTAAAAAATCTGTATAAAAATTTGGAAACTATAAAAGTCTTTGTACATTTTAAGATAATCTGTTCCTTAATCCATTCTTCTGTTTGAAAAACTATCATATAGCTGGTACGTATAACACATTTATTGTAGTTGTGCTGGATTCCAAAATTTACATTTAAAAAGCCCCAATTTTTCTAGCAAAATGTGTCTGAAGACACTACCTTTGTCCCCTTCCTACCTTTTGGGAAAGATTCTATTTGTTAGGAAATTGTGCGGACCAAAGATATGAAATATAATTAGGTCTTCTTGTGGACTTAGAAAATTTGATAGCAGAAGCTTATTTCAGACAGGAATAAAAGAAAGAAGAGTCTGAAATGTTGTGCTGCAAATGAGAAGGGAGGACAAGACAGAATGAAAGGAAGTAACCCAGGAGCTTAACTGGAAGGAATAGAAACCAAACCAAAATGTTAGGAGTGAACAGTTGATTACTGATAAATATAGTCTGGCGATTATATGGGGCATGGTGAGAAATTTAGTGTGTCTGTAGCCATGTAGGCTTCATCTCTGGTACCTCTTGGTTCCCTAGGAAATGGAGAAAGAAATAAAGAATGTATTTCGTAATGGTAACCAGGATGAAGTTCTGAGTGAAGCATTCCGCTTGACCATTACACGCAAAGATATTCAAACTCTAAACCATCTGAACTGGCTCAATGATGAGGTAATCTCGCACCTGTTTTTATATTCAGATAGTAAGTGAGCATTAAGTGGAAACTAAATCAAGGCATTATCTCACTGTTTCTCGAAGTGTGGTCCTCAGATGACCTACATAGAATCGGCTCTCCTAGGTTTGTCCATTCTCCTGAGTGAGTATGAGACAGTGTGGTGGAGAAATGCATTTTAAACAAGTAGCTCAGTTGATTTTTTTTTTAATATACCTTTGAGTCTGAGAACTGCTGATTTACCTTGTTATGTATGGAAGAGTTAGACACTGAGGGAGAGGACATTCACTCTCACTCTTTTTAAGGCACCTAGCCTGCAGTTTACATCTTCTGAGCAAATATTTAATAGCTCTGACTATGATGCAGCATGAAGGAGAACTTTGGGATTTCCATCAGGGCTTCCATTTCTATTTCCTTTTTCTTTGGTACTTGTTTTAGGTCACCTAGGTTATGAGAGATAAGTTTTCTAAAATAGTCTACATTTATATATGATATTGAAAAAGCTACGTTATTAAATATACTGATATTGAAAAAGCTATATTATTAAATATTTGATGTACTGGGTTGAAAGAAAGCTATGGCCCTCAGCTCCTGCTAATAATTTTAAGTAGATTAATTACACTACAGTCTTTTAACTAATCTGTCCCCATTCTTAAACCTGGAGGAGCCTGTTTTATTTCAGAAGGATATTTTTCACAGCAAAAGAAGAGAACGGGGTTGCATTTTTTTCTCTAAGTGCTTGCTTCCTTTCTTAGGCCCAGTAGAAGCATCCCTGCCTGATGTTTTGGGTATACTCAAAACTTTACAGCTGTGGAAGATTTTTAGATATTCAGTATAATAAGCACTAGATATTCTAGATACCTAAAATCTGGTGTTGTATGCTTAGGATCTTCCAAATAATAATATTTGCTAATATCTATTGAGCATTTACATCATGTTGGGCACTCTTGTGTTTTATGTGTTCTATTCATATAATAGTCACCACAAACCTTGGAGGTATATACTGTAGTTTAACCATTTCTATTTTATAGATGAAGAAACAAAGCATGGAAAGATTAAGAAACTTTCAAGGTTATATGGCCAGTAAGTAGCAGAGCCAGGATTTAGACCCAGACATTGAGTCTTATCTCTTATATTATACTGCCTCAGAATCCTAAATTGGATCTTGTCTTAGGGTTAGATGTATAGAATTTGAGAGCCATATGCCATGCCCAGCATGTTGATTTTCTCTGGGGGCAGCTAGACTAGCCCCATTCTCTTTGCCACTGATCAGTTTCTAAAATACAGATTTCAGGGGTGCCTGGGTGGCTCAGTTGCTTAAGCAGCTGTCTTCGGCTCAGGTCATGATCTCAGGGTCCTGGGATTGAGCCCCACATCAGGTTCCTTGCTCAGTGGGGAGCCTGCTTCTTCCTCTCCCTCTGCCGCTCCCTCTGTTGTGTTTGCTTACTCTCTGTCGAATAAATAAACTCTTAAAAAATAAAATAAAATATAGGTTTCAGAAGTTCATCATTCCCTGAATAATATCTTTGACCGAGAATGGTAAGGAAGGTATGGTTTGATACTGTCTTGCTTTAGGGGAAATCACCCTTGCTTCTTTTGGCTCAGAATAGTGATATTAGAACATTGGATCACATAACAGGAAAAAAAAAAAGTTCACTAGATCAAAGTGCAAAATGGAAATCAAGGGCAGCCAAAAGTATCCATCAATTAAATGTTTTTGATTTGAAGACATTAATGTGTGGTTTCTTGCCAGTTTCTGCCTGCCATGGCTAAATGGGAAGGGATCAATTATTCTATAGGGATTGTAGCCCATTCATTGTAAATTATGCAGAGCTTCCTAGAGGGCAGCAATGAGTAGGATAGGAGCTGAGCCCCTGCTGTTTACCGTGGCAGTCACCTGGGTGAGATCCCGTACGGGGCGGCATTCATCAGGGTATGTTTTCCATTCCCTTGGCCCATCAAAGATTGGGTTTTTAGCAAGCAAAGGTCATGGAAATTACATTATTCAGAAAAGTCGAGGAGAAGGAAAGATTTTTTTTTCTACTTTATCTCTACCACACCTACCCATAACTTTTGTAGGAATTGCTTGTCTTCTGAGTTTAGAATGTTAACCTTGAAAGCAGGTACCAATTCACATGTCCATGATGATAACTGTTTGGGAAAGCACCATTTTCAAAGTACTGTACTTCTCAGGCTTTCAAAGTTAGTGTCTTTGGGAAGCTAACATTCTGATGTGAGGAGTTAGTAGATATCCTCAAGTATTCATATTCATTTAAAAATACACAATTCTTTTTCTCAGTTGCGAATTCTGAGTCATCTTTTGCAAGTAATTTGTGCTCTCTTCAGTCCTGTTCTTCCCTCAAATAGATATTTTCCTTAATAACCATTTCTTTTCTTTCTGTATCTCCTATCAGATAGTTTTATAAGCTGCTTTTAAATCTTTCTCCAAAGTAAGGTGACTGGCATATTATTCTTACCATTTTATAGACAAGGAATATCAGATCCTGGAAGTGAAAGGGATCAGATTTAGTTTATAAGGAAAATAAAATTCAGAAGTCCTATATTTGGAATATGTGCAGAAAGCCATTAGGCTACCCTTTTCTCTGGTCTCTTTCCTAAAAGAGTAGGCTGCATTGCTTGTTTATAAAATAGGCTTTCAAACATGTTTTCATGAATGGATTTCTGTATAGATGAATAGATTCTGTATAGCTTTAAAGGACTAATGATGATTGATAGGACCGACATTTTTAACTCACTGTAAGAAAATGATACTTCTCAGAAATGGAATGTGGGAATTAGCTGTCTTTGTAAAGAATACAAAAGGAGGCTGGAATGCTGATAACACCAGGGATGTTATAGATGGGGATTTCTCTACTAGGTCTGGTGATTAGTTATTAATAGAAATACCTAATTAAAGGAAGGAGGCCAGGGTTAAAGAGAGGAGGAATTAGTTGCAAAAGTAGATTGAAAATCACAAGAAACAAAAAGGAAATACTTTTAAATGGATGTCAGCACTAAAAATGGTTTATTGATTCCTGACAATTGCATTAGATAACTTCTGTTATCCAGTGGTATGATGATTCTGCTTTATGGCCTGACTATTCTATTCTTAGAGGGCCTAAGTGTTGTTTTATAAGGCACCAGATAAATTTAAAAAATATATGGAAATTACTTAGGCATACAAGGAAATGAATCTGACTTCTGTTTCTGGTCATGATAGAATAAAATGGATCAGATTTACCCTTTCAACTTAACTAGAAAACTAAAGAAAACATGCAACAACAATTTTCAGACAGTGGATAACAGAAATCCCTGACAGAAGGAAAATGAAAGGGATGAGCTGATGATTTCCCCACCTTATTAGGGTGATATGTTGAGGGTAGAGAGCTGGTAGAACATGGCAGTGACTGACAGTCTTGCTCAGTGGAGGAGACATGGTCCAGAGTTCAGGGAGGTGAAAGTGGCTAAGATTTGTGAGGTAAGATACTGAAGGGAAGGTTGCTGCACAAAGAGAAAGTTCCAAAGATGTGTAGAGCCTCCCTCAAATCTTTGAGCACCAATCTGTACATAGATAGGAAGAAACTACCAGAGGCTGGAGAAAGAACCACCAGAAAGAAGGAATCAGAACAAAGCTCAGAGCTAGCACTGGTGCTTACAATAGTTCCTATTCCAACCAGTTAGAGTAGAAAAATCATGTGGTATTGAATAGAGGCCTCAAAAGGATATTACCTCAGGAGTGGGGCCAAACTGGCCTTAGAATAAAGGCCACTCTGGACCTGTGATAGCAAAGTTAAATACAAATCTTGAAAGCTTGAAACTGATTCAAGTGATTTAACTATATCACAGAACAAAAGCTCAATGATATTTAAAGGAATACAAACATATTCTAATAACAAAACCCAATAACATGAAATCACAGTGTCCAGCATCTATTCAAATGTTACGAGGCATGCAAGGTGAAAGGAAAATGCAACTTACTACAAGGGAAAAAACAAATACCCAGAAATGACAAAAATGACAGAACTAGCATACATTGGCAGGCTATTAAAACAGATAAACACATCCCATGTGTTCAGGAATTTAGAGGAAAATTGACATTATGATGAGAAAAATGGAAGATGTCCAAATTGAACTTCTAAGGGATGAAAAACACAGTTTCTGAAATGAAAAATACATGAGGTAGGATTAAGAGTATATTGGGCACTACAGAAGAAAAAACTAGTGAACTAGAAGATACAGCAATAGGAACCATCCAAATGAAACAGAAAAAAGGCTGAAGAAAGATGAGTATATGTGAGCTGTGGGACAATAGCAAGCCTTCTGCGCATGTAATTAGAGTCTCAGAAGGAAAAGTGAAGTGTAAGTGGTATCAGAAAAAAAAGTTTGAAGAAATAATGGTAGATTTTCCAGATTTGGAAACTTAGACTGACAGATCCAAGAAATTCAGCATACCCCAAGTAGAAGAGACACCACACTAAAAAGTATAATAATCGAGTTGCTGAAAATCAGTGATAAAAAGAAAAATAATAAAAGCAACCAGAGGAAAAGAGACACATTATGTCCTAGAGGAATACAAGACAGAAATACATGTAGGCCAGAAGACAGTGTAGCTACATTTTTAAGGTACTGAAGGAAGAAAAAAAAAAACAAAACCTTGTCAACTTATATTCTGTATGCAGCAAATATATCTTTCAAAAAAATGCTTTTTTTCAGACAAACAAATGCTGAGAGAATGCACCACCAGCAGACCTGTATTATAAGAAATATTAAAGGATATTCTTCAGGCAGGAGGAAACAATGAGGTGGAAATTTCAGTCTACACAAGGAAGAGCAGTGGAAATGCTCTCATTTTTTAATATCGCTGTAAGACAATTGACTAGTTAAAGCAGAAATGTATTGTGGGGTTTATAATGTAAAATATGACAATCATAACAGAAGAGGGGGAAAGTGGAAGAACATAGTACTCTAACACAGTACATGAAGTGGTATAATGTTATGT